GCTCAACGTGTTTCGTGCCACACAGCGCTTCTTCAGGAGGAGGTTGTCCCCTCAGTGCGAGATCATCATACCCAAGAACCAAAACGCAGGGCGGGTCAGGGAGATATGTAGTCCCAGGGTGGAGGAAAATGAAAACCCAGTCAGGGGCTGCTCATACGAGGTATTAATGGAAAAGTAGTGGAGGAAATATCCTCATGCCCAGGTAGGTCCATCAATCGAAGGACACAATATAGAGAGAGCCTGTCAATGCAGTGAGGCCTCAAAACCGCCTGCTGATAATCTCCAGCACCGAACGCTGCCGTTACGTGTGGGGTGAAACGCGTTGAGAATTGCGAGCATCGCAATATCACCCATTCCTACGGTTCCACTTGAGGTTTTTTGCAATATTGTTTAATGAACTGCCCTTTCTCCTAATTACAATGGTCCATATCCTACATTGTAGTACTTCATTGCACTGATTGAGCTGTAATCATGTCATTAGATTTTCTGATTATGTGTATCATATCCTCTATTGTGGAACTTAGCGGGTATTAGGAGGGCCTTCTTCTCTCATGTATTTTGCGCATTTTAAAAATATATTTACATATTTATGTTTTTAAACTTTTTTGTACAAATAAATAATATATTTTATTATATATATATACAATCTTTTGTTTATTGGACTTGTCATCTGGTGCCCAAAAACCCCCCAACTGCTTTCCTTCTTTATTTGTTATTACTACTTTACCAGGGGTTGGCACCTAATCACTCAGGATCTGCACACCACAATCTACTTTGTTCAGATAAGGAGTTACTAGTAATTAAGGTGTTACCGGTAATAGAATAAGGAACTGCCAGTAATGTAAGAAACAATAGGAATGGAGGAGCTGCATGTAATAAACTATTTGTAATTGATAGATTAATAGGATTGTGGTACTAGACTGAGAATACGCTAGTAAAGCTTGGGTTCAGGATAACAGGCTGCAATAATGAAAGGGCTAACAGATGGGATGCACCTAGAAAATCAAAAGGTTAAAAAAAAAAAAAAGCAATTGCTAGCAAAATACAGATTGCTGTGATGAGGAGCTGCTAATAAAATTAGGAACTGCTTGCGATTGATGGGTTAATCTTATGAGGCACTGCTAATGAAGGGGTTAATAAGATGCTGGCAACAAAGGGATTCATTTAAAATAAAGAGCTGCTAGAAATCAATGGGTGGAGAGGCTACTGGCAATCATAGCTTTAAATGGGATGAAAAGCTGCTGGCAATCAAAGGGTTAATGGGAGAAGATGCTGTGGGAAATGAAGGGGTTGCTTGGAAGGGAAGCATCTAGTAAAAAAAGGGTTAATTGGATGGTATGCTGCAAGGGATAAAGGCAATCATTAGATGCTGCTAGTAATAAAAGTGTTAATTGGATGGAATTCTACTAGTGATGAAAGAGTTAATTGGATCGGATGCTAATAGTAATGAAGGGGTTAATTGGATATGCTGCTGCAAGGGATAAATGGGTCAATGGGATGCTACTAGTAATGAAGGGGTTAATTGGATATGCTGCTGCAAGGGATAAATGGGTTAATGGGATGCTACTAGTAATGAAGGGGTTAATTGAATGGGATGCTACTAATAATGAAGGTGTTAATTAGGTGGAATGCATGGGATGCAACTAATGATAAAAGGGGTTAATTAAATGGGATGCTACTAATATTGAAAGGGTTAATTGAATGTGATGCTGCTAATAATGAAGGGGGTAATTGGATGTTGTGCTACCAGTATATAAAAGGGGTTATTTGGATGAAATCCTACTAGTAACGAAGGGGTTATTAGATGGAATGCATGGGATGATTGCTTAGGATCTTACTGGTAATTCATGGGTCAACTGGATGTTGTGCTACTAGTAATGAATGGGCTAATTAAATGTTGTGCTACTAATAATGAAGAGGTTAACTGAATGGGATGCTACTAGTAATGAAAGGGTTAATTAGATGAGTTGTTACTAGTATTGAAGGGGTTAATTGGATGGGATGCTAGTAGTATTAAAGGGGTTAATTGGATGGGATGCTAGAAGTAATGAAGGGGTTAAATGGATACGGTCCTGCGAGGGATGAATGGGTTAATTGAATGGGATGCTACTAATAACGGGGTTAATTGGATGAGGTGCTACTAGTAATTAAGGAGTTTATTGGATGAGGTTCTACTAGTAATGAATGGGTTAATTGGGTGGGATGCTAGTACCCAGATAGCAAGGATAACTTGCCACAAACTTGTGGCAGGGTTAAATTGTAATTCTTGTTAACTTGCTGCACACGTTCCTGGCAGGTTGTAGACTTGCAGAACACTGGCAGCACAAGTTCTAGTTGACACTTTTTGAATATGTAGCAGATTTGCTTGGCAAGTCTACAGCAAGAGTCCTGCAGGTCTTAGCAAGAGCTCTGCAAGCTCGCTGGTCTGGAGACTTGCAACGCAGACTTGCTGTAATTGTGCAACAAAATTGTGAAGCTCGGCAAGTATGCAAAACTTTAGCAAGTAATTTTCAAACTTGCAGCTCTATTACTTGCTATCTGGGTTGTAATGAAGTGGTTTATTGGATATGATGCTGCAAGGGAAGAATGTTAATTAAATGGGATGTTACTAATGATGAATGAGTTAATGGAATGGGATGCTACTAATAAAGGGGTTAATTGGATGAGGTGCTACTAGTAATGAAGGGGTAAATTGGATGAGGCGCTACTAGTAATGAATGGGTTAATTGGGTGGGATGCTAGTAGAAATGAAGGGGTTAATTGGATATGATGCTGCAAGGGATGGATGAGTTAATTGGATGAGGTGCTACTAGTAATGCATGGGGATAATTGGATGAAATGTTACTAGTAAAAAAGGGGTTAATTGGGTTGGATGCTAGTAGTAATGAAGGGGTTAATTGGAGGAGGTGTTACTAGTAGTAAAGGGGTTAAGTGGGTTGGAGGCTAGTAGTAATGAAGGGGTTAATTTGGATGGGATGCTGGTAGTAATGAAAGGGTTAATTTGACGGGATGCTGGTAGTAATGAAGGGGTTAATTGGATGGGATACTACTAGTAATGAAGGGGTTAATTGGATGGGATACTACTAGAAATGAAGGGGGTAATTGGATGGATGCTACTAGTAAAGAAGGGGAAAATTGGATGGGATGCTACTAGTAATGAAGGTGTTAATTGGATGGGATGCTACTAGTAATGCAGGGGTTAATTGGATGGGATGCTACTAGTAATGCAGGGGTTAATTGGATGGGATGCTACTAGTAATGCAGGGGTTAATTGGATGGGATGCTACTAGTAATGCAGGGGTTAATTGGATAGGGTACTACTAGTAATGAAGGGGTTAATCTGATGGGACACTACTAGTAATAAATGGGTTACTTGGATAAGGTTCTACAATTAATGAATAGGTTAATGGAATGGGATGCTAGTAGTAATAAAGGGGTTAAGTGGGTTGGATGCTAGTAGTAATGAAAGGGTTAATTGGATGGGATGCTGGTAGTAATGAAGGGGTTAATTGAATGGGATACTACTGGAAATGAAGGGGATAATTTGGTGGGATGCTACTAGTAATGAAGGGGTTAATTGGATGGGATGCTATTAGTAATGAAGGGGTAAATTGGATGGGTTGCTACTAGTAATGCAGGGGTTAATTGGATGGGATGCTAGTAGTAATGAAGGGGTTAATTGGATGGAATGTTACTAATAATGGATGGGTTAATTGAATGGGGTACTACTAGTAATGAAGGGGTTAATCTGATGGGATGCTACAAGTAATAAATGGCTTAATCGCATAAGGTGCTACAATTAGTAAAGGAGTTAATGGAATGCTACTAGTAATGAAGGTGATATTTGGATGAAATATTACTAGTAATTCAGGAGTTAATTGGATGAGGTGTTACTAGAAATAAAGGGGTTAAGTGGGTTGGATGCTAGTAGTAATGAAGGGGCTAATTTGACGGGATGTTGGTAATAATGAAGGGGTTAATTTGATGGGATGCTGGTAGTAATGAAGGGGTTAATTGGATGGGAAGCTACTAGTAATAAAGGGTTTAATTAGATGAGGTGCTACTAGTAATGAAGGGGTTAATTTGAGGGGAAGCTACTAGTAATGAAGGGGTTAATCAATTGGGATGCTGCCAGTGATGAACAGGTTAATTTATTGGGATGCTGCCAGCGATGAAGAGGTTAATTGATTTGGATGCTGCAAGGGGTTAATAAAGCGAGCGATCACTGGTAATGAATAGGTTCCGGAGGGACGATAGCATAAGGATCTTCCAGCAATACACGGGTTAAGGTGACAATCAAGGGTTAATATGAGGGGCGCCGCTGTGTAGTCTCCATCGCCGCCTGATCGATGAACTCGCTGACCAGCGCCGGAGATCGGGAGCGTGCACAGGGGAGAGAGGTGCCGGTCCTCAGTATAGGAAACGGTGCCGTGCACGCGCAGGGAGGGGGGGAAGGTGTGCACGCCGCTGGGGGATAGCAGGGACACCATTGTTCATGGAAGGCCGGCGGCGGCGGCGGCGGCGGCAGCTCTCTCTCCTCCCGGCCGCAGGCTGTCACCGCCCGCGACAGCCACTTTCCCACGGCCCGCGCGTGCTAACAGACTGCCCTGCAGACTCCAACCTGGCCGGGCGCCAGACCAATCCGGTCAGAGCGGGGTGGAGCCAGCCCTCACTTCCCCCCACCCTCTCTTCGCCTGTCAATCACTCTGACAAACCGAGTTCTTTCAGAATGGAGAAAGGGGAGACGGGGCTCCAAGACTCCTTTGTAGGGCCTGACGTCAGAGAGCGGAGGAGGAGGGGCGGGGCGCTGGGAGAAGAATTATTGGCTACAAGCAGATAATTGTGTTCCAGGAGCAGGCGCCAGTGCTCAGCCTCCCCCCCCCCTCCCCATGTAAGAGGCGAACCGTGGGAAAGGGATGGCTTAGATCTTAACCAGAGGGACAGCCGGAGGAGGCGGCACAGTGACAGCAGCCGGCCAGGACTGCACACACACTCAGCACCATGAAGAGGAGCCACCACGACTACAGCTCATCAGACAGCGAGCTGGATGAGAACATCGAGGTGGAGAAGGAGAGTGCCGATGAGAATGGGTGAGGAGTGCAAGGGATCAATAGATTGTCATAGGGATCGGGGACTGATCAGGAGGGAACACTGAACCCTCTCACCCATCAGTGTCCATCCTGACCCCAATCATCACATTGACTGTGCAACTTCTCCAAACTTTCCACTGCTATCTTCTCCTCTGTCACTGCCATCTACTTCTCTGTCACTGCCATCTACTTCTCTGTCACTGCCATCTACTCCTCTGTCACTGCCATCTACTCCTCTGTCACTGCTATCTTCTCCTCTGTCCCACTGCCATCTACTCCTCTGTCACTGCTATCTTCTCCTCTGTCCCACTGCCATCTACTCCTCTGTCTCACTGCCATCTACTCCTCTGTCCCACTGCCATCTACTCCTCTGTCCCACTGCCATCTACTCCTCTGTCCCACTGCCATCTACTCTATTCTTATCATATATTCATTTCCTTTTTAGAAACTTGAGTTCAGCTCCGGGATCGATGTCCCCATCTACCACCTCCCAGATCCTGGCTAGAAAGAGGCGCAGAGGGGTGAGTGTCACACACAGGTCACATACATGTCATGCTCTGGGTCACACAGCAGCTTTTTATAGCATTTATACAGTGAGGATGAAGAGATCTCTTATAAAAAAATCCTAAATGTCTGACCAGTCTCCCCCCCAGACCTCTAACCTGACACGATGCATCATCTGCACACCGAGGAGTTCTCATTTCATGAATTAAACCAGAGCTGGGCAGATCCCAGGAGCCAGGTCGGCAACGCTCACTTAGAATGACAGCTGGCGCCTAGCTTCTGAGGTCTTCTCTAGTTGCTGTCAATGGAGCTGGCTCCTAAAAACTGCTGCTGGCTCCTGGATTGGACAGACCGGCTCCTGATCTCCATATGAATGTGTCCAACCCGAATTAAACATATTCCATGCAAAGCACTTGTATGATGTTGGCATTGCTCCCATTTGATTGGTCGTCACATCTTTTGGTTCTCCAGTGAAATGTCATTTGGAACAGCAATCCAGAAACAATTGTGTTCCCGTTTTATTGGAAGGTCCCCCTCCCCTAAACGCAACGCTGTGTTCCTTTTGTAGATCATAGAGAAGCGTCGGCGGGACAGGATTAATAACAGCTTGTCTGAGCTCAGAAGACTGGTGCCCAGCGCCTTTGAGAAACAGGTACGGGATTTTATTGCTGCTGTCTGTGTCCCAGGAGAGTTCATTTTCTTATTACTCTACATTCTGTATATTATATTTCATGAGATAGATATATGTATGTGTATATATAT